TCCTGTCTAATAATTTTTTTCAGTTGTTTCTTTAAAGTTATTAGTTTCATTGATTTACATTTAGACCAAAGTATGCCCATTTTCTTACATAAATATGTTACATTTGAAAACCAACTATTTATATTACAACTGTCCAAGATCATGCTTTCTTTGTATGCATTGTATAACAAAGAATTCTCGGGCATGTTCTCAAGTCTATGCCAGGAAGAGATAATTGCTATAATAATAGAAAAAAGTATTGGTTGTCTACCCAGCTCTGATAGAACTGCAATATTAGTACTTTTTTCCCTGATCCAATGATAAATTTACAAAGAGCTAGGTTCACTTTATGCATAAAATGGCCCTGTAAATATACCAATTTATAAAATAACACTCAATGTTCCATTTCAAACATCAAGATATAGCAGAGACTTAGTGCTTTCATTTCCTAGTAAAATTTTTCTCCTGAAAGTTCAGATATTGGAAAACAGGCTTTATGGAATTGAAATGTTCTTGAAATTTAAGCAAAAGAGGTATATTTGAGTGCTTTCAGAGAAGAAAAATAATATGAGCGCACTTCTTGATCCAAAAAATAAAACATGTTTTGTAATCCTCAGAAACAGTTCTATCATTTGATAATTACATATTTTAGATCAGAGGTTGCGCTCTATATGAAATATCGAAAAATTGCTTTAAAAATTGGCCGTTTTGTTGAATTATTCAGGATATGAGGAAAATGACGCAATTCATGACGTCATAATGCATTTACTAGCCAGAAAATTACGTCATTTTTGATAGATTCGCAATCACCAATAGTCTAAATGATATTTAAAGCAATGTCAACTAAAACAAAGCAGTTTCACTTTTTCAGAAATTCACAGGGCCTAAAAAGGCCCTAAGTGAACCTTGTTCTTTCATATGAAGATTTTCAATCTCCCATGCAATCTTTAAATGTTTCATATAGGCATTTATCTTTTCTTTACATTGATGTTGACAATACACCCCATATTTCTGCCCCATAGGTAGCTATAGGTTTGATCATATGATCAAATAGATGAAGTAAAGTTTTAATGGGTGGATCTGTTGATTTTATATCTTTGTATATTTTAAATGATGACTTTAAAGCTTTGTTATACAGATGAGACCTTGCCTCTTGAAAGAACCAGAATTTGAGAGTATTATACCTAAGTATTTATATGTTTTAACACATTCTATATTAATACCATTAATTGAAAACTTTTCTTTTATTAAATGCCCACTTCTGTTGAAAATAATTATTTTTGTTTTGTTAACATTGATTTCCAAACACCATTCTTTACAATATTTGTATAGCATATCAAGTTTTTGTTGCATAGATAGCTGGTTGTCAGATAATAATACTAAATCATCTGCATATAATAAAGCTCCTATTTGCTTGTTGAAAAGTGAGACTGAGATAACAATGTCTTTATTAAGTAAATTTGAAAGATCATTTAAGAATATTTTGAATATATTTGGGCTTAAGACATCACCTTGTCTTACTCCTAGTTCGGGTGAGAAAGTATAAACATTTAATAGGTCTGCAAATTTCAGGGGGTGGGGGTGGGGTGGGGTGGGTCCGGACCCCCTTCTAGATCCGCGGCTTCAAGAAGTAAAAAATTAAAATAAGAAATAAAAAATGAAGAATTTAATTTGGAAAATAAAAAGTTAGAAAAATAAAAAGAAAATAAGACCATTAAAAATAATTGTGGCACTGATGACCCTCCATAGGTTCTCATTATCAAAATTCGACAAACATGTAGACTTTACATTTGTAGACTTGTCAATTGTCTTTGTGTTTTATTCAGAGCGCGGAAATATAAATTCCGGAAAACAAAGTTTACAACATCAAAAATACACACATTCATATAGTATAGATCTAAACTCAAAGTCAACACAGTTGTATGCACGTATGTTCGGAGCTACATGCTAGGATGTCCGAATTACCTACTTACATATGTATACTATGAAACTGATACGATTACAAGTTTGGATTTACAAACTTACAAGTTTGGATTTACAAACTTACAAGTATGGATTTTTGAACACGATTACCCTCCATAAGTTCAAAAGTTATGGCGAAGGTTAAAGTTTTTTAAATAAAAGTCAAACATCAAGGTCAAGGTCAAAGTGGTTGGTATCCAAAGGAAGGTCTTGTCACAAAGAATACACATGTGAAGTTTGAAACCCCAAGCACCAACTGTTCAGAAGTTATGGCGAAGGTTAAAGTTTCATGAAATTTTGCAAAAGTGGGTCAAACTCCAAGGTCAAGATCAAAAGGTCAAATATGATGGTACCCAAAGAAAGGTCTTGTCACAAGAAATACACGTGTGAAATATGAAAGTCAGAGCTCCAACCAATCAAAAGTTATGGACAAGGTTAAAGTTAACAACAGACAGACAGACAAACAGACAAACAGGCAGACAGGACAAAAACAATATACCCCCGGGATCTTTCGATCCGGGGGCATAAAAATGGAGGGAATTTAGAAAATCTAAGACAAGCATGGCATGGAAAAGCTGCAATGTCTCTAACAGGAAAAGTCAAAACGATGGGGCTACTAAAATGATATGCATGTATGTATATAAATGCATAAAAATAAATTGCGCTGGCACACCCTCACAAAATGCTGTGCCTCCTTTATTTTCTGTCAGGAAAAAGTAGATTCAGTCTATAAAGTATATATAAAGCAATGGCATATTTTTACCAACAGCACAAGAACCAAAATAAACACATGATGTTATCGGATTTTTTTTAAAAAGTACTTTAACAAGTATACAATAGTTGGCACCTAACGTTATACTAGCTACATTAATATGTCTTTCTAATATCTTTTAGAAAAATATATTAAGAAAGAAAAACATTTAAATTTTATACTAACATGGATTGCACAAGCTGAATCATTCATGAAAACAATTGTTTCAATTCAAAATTATCCTCTTTCTAACAAGACACACACTGACACACGTAACTTGATTTAATTTGAATCTAGATTGATGTACAATTTATGGAACTGCAAGCCCGATCTATAATAATGTCATTTCAAACCCAACATTAATAGAGTCAGAGAGATTTTCTATCACGGAGCGGTCGACTATAGTCAACACTGCAAGATGTCACGAAGTCGGAGTGTTCAACTATGGTCAACTCTTTTCTCGCATTAAATTTTCAAAGTATTAGTATTCAACTAGTGGTCAACTCACTGAAAAACAGTCAATTGTCGGTCAACTGACCATTTTATGCAAAACAGTTGACAGCTTTTAAGAAAAGCATTCACCTCCTAGTGGTCAACTGTTTTCGAGTAATCAGTTGACGACTAGTTGACTGCTAGTTGACGATTAGTTGACCGTCAACCACACATTTTCGTATGGGTATATAATAGACCGAAAATCCAGCTAAATCATATAAATAAAAATCTTTTATGAACGCCAAAGATAACATTACTGTGCTTGTTAACCAAGCAAAAAAAAAAAAAAAAAATAAAATAAAATATGGAATTGCCGATTTACCATACCGTTTTTATTGTCTTACTCTACTTCCGTGCAAATTTTCTTTGAAATATCTTTTCAAAGAAGTCTTTGATAGCATTTTTTCGATGTTCTCATGTAGACAAAAACAAAAAACAAATAAAAAACAAAAAAACCGCGACTTTTCAGTATGCGAAACATTCGAGATTCTGACGTCCTTTTTGACGCTGTTACGTCATATATATATATATATATATATATATATATATATATATATATATATATATATATATATATATATATATATATATATATATATATATATATAAATGACGTTCATATAAGTACAAATTGTCCACCTCTTTTCAATGGTATAAAACGGTTCAACTACGGTATACGGAAAAGTTGAACCGTAAAATCGATTAACATCTTTCAGATTTAAAACAAGGAAAGAAATAGTTCCTTTTATAACGCAAAAAGTGAGTGTTTTGCCTTATTACGTCAAATAGTCCACAAGAAAAAAAGTCCACAAGAAGAGTTTTTCCCTGAATGGGAAAATTTGACACTTAACCTGTATTGTCATCACAAAGGTCGACAGGTTGACAGTTGACACCTAAACTCTTATCTTTCAAAATAATGGTCGACAGGTCGACACCACATTGCTAAATCTTATCCATCACAACAAAGGTCGACAGGTCGACAGTTGACACCATATTGAGATACTATTTTCACTTAAAACAAAAACGTTAACAGTTGATACCCGTTCGGTTTCATTTATATCTCAAAACAAAAGATGACAGGTCGAAAATTGACCCCCTATCGATATTCTTTTTACCCTCATAACATCCTTTCGAACTAATAAGCTTTGTCATGCGCGAACAAACACAAGACATTACGGTAAGTCTTGTAAAACCACTCAATTGATCGATCCCACCAGAGTTTAGGGTTAGTCCTCTAACACACCTGATGGATTAGGGTTTATTCTCGAAATCTCCTGAGAGTTAAGGGTTAGACCTAGAACCCATCGGAAAGAATAGGTTTAGTCCTCGAACCCACCAGAAAGATAAGGGTAAGTCCTCAAACCCACCTGAGGGATAAGGGTTAGTGCTTAAACCAACTGGAGATAATAATCCGTCGAACTGTCAACCTGTCAAACCGTCTACCTGTCAACTCGTCTACCTGTCGACCTTTCTTCTTGAAACATGTAGACCTGTCAAGCAAACAATCTGTCAACCTGTCGACTCGTCTACCTGTCGACCTGTCCACGAAACATTCTGTCAACCCGTCGACTTGTCATCCTGTCGACCTTTCAACCTGTCTACATGTCCACAATTTTACCAAAATGTTCTTACGCCAAATTTCCTCATATTCTTTAGCATTGCAAATTTATTCTTCAGCCCTTTGGCTATGAAAATATTTTCCGGTTCTACTTATCCATATATCCTAGTTGAGCCAAATATTCAATAAATCATCTATCGACATGACTCATCACAGACATTCGATAATATTTCTTACCTCCCATTTACACTCTTTCAGATTGTCCTAGCATGATGTTTTTCAATGCGACTTCTTCCGATTGTGTCCTATGTAATTGTAACAACAACACCACAGATTCATGTAACCAGACGACAGGAGAGTGCACGTGCAAGACTGGGTTCTATGGACCATCATGTGATTGCATCAAAAATCAGCACAACTGCAACAATACGTATTCCTACTGTTCCTTTCATGGAACCACACCTGTTTGTAATTGTAGAGTCGGGTTTTATGGGAGGAATTTGGGCTGTTTCGGTAGGTTGTCCCTTAAAACATTATGTAGCAAAAGGATGTGTACTTTGCTTCAAAAAGAACCATTAAAAAGTAAGGCTTTCATATCATAATTGTTGACGACGATCACTATATCTTTAATCTATTTCTGCACAAGTTCTTTTCCCTATATATATATATATATATATATATATATATATATATATATATATATAAATATATATATATATATATATATATATATATATATATATATATATATATATATATATATATATATAATTTATTGATCTGTTTTATGGTAATTTTTTTTGTAAATGTTTTAAAGAGTATAAATGACAAAAAAATTCTGTAAAGTACTAGATTCATTTTATGCATAAAATGGTCCTGTTTGCAGATCAATTAATCAGTTGTCACTCTTTGTCCAATTTCAAACATTAAATTAAAGTAGAAACTGCCATATTTTCATATCAATAAAATAAAGATTCTTAAAGTTCATATCTAAAGAATTGGGTACAATTGTACAGAAAGTAAATTTGTGAGTTCATGCAATTAGCTAAGAGTTTTTAAATCAAGCATTTGATTATATATATATATATATATATATATATATATATATATATATATATATATATATATATATATATATATATATATATATTAAGAAAGTGCCAAAATTGACTCATCCGTTCGGGATACTCCGTGCAACGAACACTTTGACGCATGTGGCAAGGAACTTTTTAGTATCTTTCCATTCCATAAAGTTACAGAGGAAAGCAGGGGCCAAAGAACAATATTTCATTGATATTATTGTGTAAACATGTATCGTTTATAGTGTCAAGTCTATTTACTTTGGCAATTTCTTCGGACATTTTATATATTAAATAAGTTTAATTTTAAATGATATTTTTATGTATAAATATCTGACTCACACACACACCCTCACCCACCCTCACACACACACACACACCCACCCACCCATACATACATACGTACATACGTACATACATACATACATACATATATATATATATATATATATATATATATATATATATATATATATATATATATATATATATATATATATATATTCCATAAAATTTAAGAATAATTCAATCAATTCTGTTTCGATTTTTTTTTTCAGATTAAAATCTGGGCTGTAGTCATAAAATTGAAATAACTTCGAAATATTGGTCTTTTGTAAAGGAAATTTTAATTAATTTTAAATATAATAATAATATAATTATCTAGCATAAAATCATGTCATATCATCAGATGTACACAGACAAAGTCAAAGAAAACAAAGAAATGATGTAAAAATTACTCTTAAGGAAGCTCTAAACACTGCACACTAAAGAGTTCTATTTGTAGGGTAGTTTTATTGAGGTAGAGTGATCTGCCCTTAGAAGAAAACTAGTATAAATGGGTATCTACAGTTAATGACACAATTTCTTATGAATTAAAGTATTCTTAATGTTATGTTAGACCAAGATTAAGTAATTAAATACATTATTTCCATTAATTTTCCCGATGCAAGTAAACAACAGTGATTTCTGTTCACAAATAGTTCATTGTCTTTGAACATTTTTTTTGCAGAAATAAAGCAGGCACCCTAAGTTGAAAATGAATTAGATACACTGAATATGTGCACCTTTATATGATATGTTTTTCTTAAAGCCCAAAAAGCATTTTTCATTAGTGTTTAGAGCTTCCTTAATATATTTTAGAATCACTAAGATTCATCAGGGATACAGGAGTTTTGCAATTGTATCATCAGGATCAGTGGATGCTAATTGGTTTCAGTTACAGATGGGATGAGAATGAATCTAAAGTTATTTGCACTCAGTTGGGTTTACCAACGTAAGTCACTTTTATTTCTAGTAACAATATTCGAGAGTTTAAAAATTGATACGATATAAAAAGGAAATGTTAATTAATTCCATGCTTTTTATACCCCACCTTGTATATAATCAAGGCATTTTGTGTTTATCAAATCTATCAGCCGTCCTTCCGACAGTCTGACTGTCCATCTGTCATTTTTCGCAATCAGCTCATTTTCCAAGAAACTGAAGAAGATATTTACGACCAAAATTCACAGATTGATACTTTTTGATAATATATATTATTCACTTATGACATCATTTTCTTTGTGACCTTGACCTGACCATACCCTACTTGGTTTCTAGCTTAGTTTTTTTTTTTTATTAATAACTCATGATCATACGCTGATATATACTTTGGTGGCAGGATTACGATTCTATTCAAACTAAAGCTAACTATTAGTCTATTACATATTTCGTATTCAGCATAGTTTACAAAAAAAAAAAAAAAAAAAAAAAAAAAAAAAAAAACAAACAAACAAACAAACAAACAAAAACAAAAAACTATTCATAATATTTTCATGAAAACTGCATATTCTGATTCATATTCTTTGGGACTTTACTGTGTCATAGTTATTTGACCTTGACTTTCCCAATGACCTAGACCCCACTAATAGGCTATTTGCCACTTCTCATTTTCAAGGAAACTGTTAAAGATAATTTTTTACAAAGATACAAATTAATAAGTGATATTCCACTGTGTCATAATTTTTGTGACCTTGATCATCCCTATGACCTTGACCCCAATATTCCTCATGTGGCATTTAAGAGAAAAAGATATTTTTATCTGCTTTATACAAAGATACAAATTGATTGGAGCTACTAATCAACTGTGTCAATTTCTTTTTCAATTTTAACTTCCATGACCTTGATCTAACTATTAATTGTTTTAGCACAGTTAACAGAAAATATTTTTCGTCAAATTAACACACTGAATTTTCAAAAGAATTTTAAAGAGAAAAAAGTTGGAAATATGAATATTAAATTATATCTACTTTATCTTTATGCCAACAACTAACACCTACCCACCCCACCCCCACCGCTACCCACCCACCCACACACACACACACACACACAGAAATAGAGAGAGCAATATATTAACCAATTCAAATTTTTGTAGTTTTTATATGTCCTGCACATCGAAATATCGGAGTCAGACAGGACTGATGTACAGCGATTATAGTAACAGGAAAAGGATTACCTATCTGTCATGCACTGGAGATGAAATGGAAGTATCCCAATGCAGATTTAGCGTATACAGCTACATTTCCAGTTATTCATTGTTTGGAATTGTGGAATGCCGATCAGGTAAAATTTGTATGTAGAGAACACGAAAAATTTATGAAATTCGAAACTTGTACTTAATTACATGTAACTAGAACTTGGTTTGAATAAAATATGTTAACAAAGATAAGTTACAAGAAAAAAAATAATACATACTAACATTCTCTTTCTTTTTCCTCTTGTCTTGATACATGTACGTCACAGGCGCAGATCAAGGATTTTTTTTTCCAGAGAGGTCCTCCCCATCTCCTCCCCCCAAAGAAAATCCAATCAAAAAATTAGTCGACAAAAATAAAAAAGAGAGAGAAAGAGAGCAATATATTAACCAATTCATATTTTTGTAGTTTTTATATGTCCTACACATCGAAATATCGGAGTCAGACAGAACTGGTGTATAGTGATTATACATGTAGTAAAAATATATATACCGTAACTCCTATTCTAAACGTGAGAATCCTATTTTGTGGGGGGTTAAACAACTTAATACAATGTATGGCTCCGCGATTTCCAGGGGGGGGGGGGGTGTCCAAGATCATTTTTAGTTACATTGCTATGTACATTAGATAACTGCAAATTCGAGGGGATATTAAGTGTACTGACCATCAAACTGTTTCAGCAAATATTGAAATTAAGTAGATGTAGGCGTAGTCATGGAAATCGATCATGCAATGCTTGAAGTCCCGTCTGATTCACCTCTACTTTACATCAATAAACAATTAGGTCTTTATCACATTCGCAATATTTTACTTTGTTTTCTTGAAATTTTTGACTGGACTAATTGAAGAAGCTAAGCAATTCCATACTTGGATTCTTTGACTGTTGAATACAAGCAAGTATTTGTGGTTATGGATTTTGTCCAGCGCAGGTTTGTTAAGCTTCAACTTGTGTCGGAAGATAATAATTCTAGTCTACCTGTCTGTTTCCTTAAAGCCAACAAAGAAATAGATGTTACATTTATGATCATTAGTAACTTCCTTATCATAAAAGATTTTGGTCTTGCATTCAACCATATTTCAAGTTGAAGCCTACACCATGTATTTCCTACAGATATTTCCCATATGTTGCTTCCAAACTTAACAAACTTTATAGAGCCTAGACATTTAAAACATCTTGAATAAAATCCTCCTTAGTTCTCTTGCTCTGCCCCTTCTTTCAACTATAGTCCCGCTGTCTATAGTTGACAGTCAAAGAATCCAAGTATGGAATTGAAATTTTCTCAAAGGCAAAATTCAACAATAATAATTTTGACTCACCAAGTTTTTTTTTGTATGAACAACAGAAGAAGGCGCTTGATTCGATGCTGGAGAATGAGTTTGAAACTAGGAAAATAGGGGGTGTTGTAATTGACGCCTCTTTGCATATACCATTAATATTCTCAGAATCTTGGTTCCTTAAAAAGCGTAGAAATATAAACTGAACAATAATTAAAAAATTTTGCAGCTCTGATCATGTAGGTTGAGTGTACTTCTTAACAAACCAATTCGCTAATGTATAAATTTAGTGTATGACTACCCATTTCATATTCAAAAGACCATTATTATTTTTTTTTCGCCACGTGCATACAATATATAAAACAGAATTCATATCATGCATGTTTAATAGAGTATTGTAAACATGACCTAATTCTATAAGTTTTGGAATAAATATTGTACAAACTTAATAGTCAAGACACGTAATAATGCATAGTTTTGAGACTGCGAGGAAAGTTATGCCTCTTTTAAAATTAATGCATCGCGTGACATACTACTTTTAAATTGATAAACAAAAATGGGCGTCAAGAAAACGAGGTAAGCCGTTTGGTATACAAATAACTTTTGACATTGATGGCACACATCTAATGCTTAAAAATAATGATCTTTTGAAACAACCAGTATTAACCATCTTCTCTGTAATGACAGATATAAATCTTTGATTTATAATCGTAGTCAAAATGCATACCTCGTCGTCTATGATTCCCTGCGGACATGTGTGTCTATATATTGTTTACGCACTTCCTTCAGCAATATTCATGAAAAGTTTGATTCTTGATTGTAGATCTTGCTTAATTGTTTTGTAATTACAACGACGTATTTAGTAAAACTTTGTGAAAAGTATTTTATTTTCATTACACATCATGTTTTTCAAATCATTTAATCATTTTGTTTCACATAAAAATCGACGTTTAAATAGCGCGTATATCTCTAATGTAGTTGAAAATGACGACCTTAAAGCAATCACTTTAAAAGACCCTAAATATATTTTATAAATAAATAATAGACACTTAATTTATTTCAACTGTATTTTAAAAGAACTTTGTTTCAATTCTATATCTAGAAATCCAATTTCTACTCACATTTTACTTTCAATGGATGAAATTCTTCAAAATAACAATTCAGCGTTTTACCCTTTTAATATTCAAAACAACAAAAGTTAGTTCGATCTACCTATCTATACCGAATTCCTTAACTACATAAAAATCCTTGCAGACAAAGATACATTGAAGGGTCCAGTAAATGCTCTACCAAACCCCCACCAAAATATCAACAGTAAAGAAGAAACTTCGGAAGTACTGTATTAAAGGATATTCTAGAAGTGGTGTAAATCAAATGTGGATTCTCAAAAATTCCAAAGAAAATACAGAAAATTTAAAATCACCTCTGGAAGTTGATATAATTATAGAGGGATGCTGGGGTTCTTCATTGACAACTTTATGTAGTAATTAAAGACCAGGTCTTCCAACGATCTGTTGGTATTCTATAGACACTATAATTGTGCTCCTTTATTATTCGACTTGTGTTAATATTCAAATGAAGCATATTTTATTCAAAATCTACTACATATGAAAAAAAACTTGTTGTCTCTTTCAACTCCACATTCAGATATATTGACGACTTTATATCAATTAAAAATAGTTACTTCTATTCATATGTCGATTTGATATATTCAGTACATGTAAACTTGAAATAAATGACAACACAGAGTCTGCCACGTCTGCCTTAATTTCGGACTTCAATAAGGGCCAACTAACAACTAATCTGTATGACCATCTTTTCCATCATGCACTGTCCTTGTTTTTATGTATTAATATTTCGAAGTCATTTGCATTTGAAGTTCAAACTTATTATTTCTCAAAGGTGTGGTCTTAGTACGATCATTTTTAAACCAAGGAAATTTTTAGGGATCTGTGTTTTATGGCCTCTTCGCAGATTTGTATTCCTTTTATGTTTTTCGAGATTGAGTAATACTGTTTGCTATCTCCACCCTTTTCATTACTTAATTTAAGATCGAGGACTTATATACTAATCTAGTTTGAATAAAATTATTTTGGACTAAAAACTGACTCACGCAGTCAATGTAAGGTGTGCAACTTTTTGAGTTGGTGTAGAAATTCATTTTAAAAAGCCCCATTTTTGTCAAAAATTGTGCATAACATTTTTCTTCAACGAGGTATTTGCTCTGAAAAAAATGTCAATATTGACGATATTTCAGAGTAAACTGGCATTAATTCGTTAACTGCTTTAAACTCTAAAGGACTTAAACACAAGAATTGTTTTGCCTAGAGTGGCCACTATTTACTCATCAAAATCCAAATTGGTGTCCATGTAGACATTAAAAAGTGTACAGTAGCTCTATATGACAATGATTTGTCTCCTTTTGAAAATAATCTATGAAATTCTTCAATGTTTCACTCATAAGCATCAAACAGGAA